GCTGCTCTTGTTCCAGCTGGACATCACCTTTCTGCTCGCCTGGGTGGAAACCTTTACCTGTTACCCTATTATTTTTTTTTTTTAATTTATTTTTTAGTTACTGAAGTGATATTTAGACTCCACCCCAGGCTTGCTGTCAAGTGCATTGTGCACAGGTCATTTGCACCGTCAGCATATCTGCAAAGCACTTTTATGCACATTTCCCTTTGCCAGCAATAAAGCTCCCATCCCATGGTACAGTGAGGGCTCTTCATGCCCAGTTAAAAAAAAAAAAAAAAAGACAAAACAACAAACTCATGCCTGGACAACAACATAGTATTTTGTTCTAAGGTCTGTATGGCACGTAATATTAATTCAGGATCATACAATAGTCTGGCAAGGCATTGTTATCCCTGTTGGCATCCCCATGGGCTTTTTGCTTGAGAGGAAGACTTCATGCCTTCAGCTGAAGCTCAGATGCCACTTGCTATACTTTGGAAGGCGTCTTAGCCTCACAGTGCTCATCTCTTGCTGGTAATATTAGCCCTGCTAGCACTCACTGGACTTGATGGGGGTTTGCTGCTGAAATGGGTGGACTTGCATGACAAAAAGGAGGCTGGAGAAAGGCAGAGATTGATTTCATGTTTGCAGCCATTGTCCTTAGCTCACAGAATCACAGAATTGCCAGGGTTGGAAGGGACCTCAAGGATCATGAAGCTCACCTTCAGCTTTTTCTGCAGTTCAGTGTAGCACATGAGATGGGCCACATGGAGCTGTAGGGTCTGGGGAACTTGGTAGATCTTTCAAGCTCTAGCAGCTCTGGAGCTTGCAGAGCTACTGCTGTCTGCATGCTGAGACATGAGTCCATGAGAGGCATGGGACTGTTTGGGAAAGGCCCATACTGGAGTTGTCAATGCTCCCATTTGCAGCAGCTGCCTTGTGCTGGCTGGAGAGGAGCAGGAACATGACAGCATTGCCTAACCCACCCAAAGGACTGTCCCTTTGGATGTCACATCCAAGCAGACCCTTCCTTCTCATCAAAGACTTCAGCAGGGACATGCCTCCCAACAACAGTTGCATTCTCCATTTCCCACAGTCCCAGCTCTGTCATCTTCTCCCCTCTGCCTCTCCTTCTGCAACACCTACAAGAGTCCAGTACCCAGGCTGCTCTGACCATTCCTAGCCATTTCAGAAACATGAAAACACCATTCCCCTTGAACTCCAGGTGCTGTGAGCCAGGTGGACCGTGCCCACCAGCTCAAGGATGGGCCCCAGGGCAGCAGGCAGAGGGTGCTGCTCCAGCAGCTGATCCCCCTTGGGTAGTGAGGCAAGACAGAACAGATCATTCAGCTTATCCTCTTGCCTTATACACTGTCATCAGGTTTGTCTGGAACTGAGCCCATTTCCAGTTGTCTGGATGGCGTTTCCAGCTGGGGCTCCTCACACATCTGTTTGTGCGGTTTTCGATGGAGCCCAGATAACATTTCTCCAGGCATTTGCTGATTACTTTTCAGCTGGGGGGGGGAAAAAAAAAAAAAGAAAAAAAAAAGTGTGTGAGCACTTGTTTGCAGACATAACATAATTACGGGCTGCTAAGTTCCCTGTACACTGCAGAAGTACCTGCAGGGGATAGGGGTCTGGCACAAGGCCAGCTTGCTTCTGGCAGCATCCCAGCACACATAGGAACAGGGAAACTGGTTAGCTAGGAAGACGACTGGGGAGGGACTTTTTTTTTTTCCTGCCCTATTTCTAGTTTTTTTTAATTTTGAATTTTTTGTTTATTTTCTCTTTGGCAGAACACAGAGTTCCCAGCCACAGGTTAAGGCACCGAGTGGGTGCCACTGCTCTGAGCACATCTTTCACCCTGTGTGTGGAGAAAACAACGTGGAGTACATCTCACCCTGCTTTGCTGGCTGCACCAACAGCAGCACTGATTCCTCAGCTCCCAGACAGGTGGTGAGTAGTGGGAGAAGGATGTGGCCACCAAGCTGAGCTGTTGTGGCCGTGCCAAGATCCAAAGCATTTCCAGAAAGTTTGAGGTTTTGCATTGAGTGCACCTTGCTTGTTGGTCACAGTGGAGACTTTTGCAGTGCTGTAGGAATTTGGATGTGGCAGAGCCGTTTGGATATTTGAATTATTCTTTAAGGAACTAAGAGAGACCTCTAGCTCAACTGCCCTTGTTGACTTCAACTTGCTAGGACAAGGCATAATGGCTTTAAACTAAAAGAGAGGAAATCTAGGTTGGATGTGAGGAAGTTCTTTACATGGAGAGGGGGGAGGCCCTGGCACTGCTGCCCAGAGAAGTGTGGGTGCCCCATCTCTGGAGATGCTCAGGGCTGGGCTGGATGGGGTCTTGGGCAGCCTGAGCTGCTGGAGAGCAGCCAGCCCATGGCAGGGGTGGAACAGGGTGTTAACCCTTCTACATCTGTCACTTCTGAACAGAGAAGGTCTTGAGCATGAGGTGGTGATTGATTCATTTTGGCCATAGTGACCATGAAGTAGTCAAATTTAAAATGAAGAAAGCTGCTACAAAACCTCATGGGAGAGCAGATGTTATGCTGCTCAGGAAACTACGATTAGTAAGGTCTCCTAGGAAAATTGCTTTTGAGCAGGGAGGCTGGACAAGTAGGGAATGGTGGCATGTCCCCTTGCAGGAGGTCGGGACACTCAATGGGATGCCATGGCCATATCATTGGAGCTGATGCTTGCATCGCTCCTTTGTCAAGTGGTGCTGTGACATAGAACCACAGAATCATTAAGGTTGGAAAGACCACTGAGATCATCAGGTCCAACCCCAACTTATGCCTGTGACCATTCCAGACCATGTCCCTCAGCGTGACATCTACCCTTTTCTTGAACACTTCCAGGGACAATGACTCTACCACCCCCTTGGGAGCCTGTGCCAATGTTTCACCCCTCTCATAACATGATTAGGGGAGTTTTACATGTTTGTTTGTTTGTTTTCAAATGTTTCCAACAGATCTACAGGAACTGTTCCCAGATCTCTGTTGGTAATGGGCTGTCCTCTGCCAAGACGGGCTCCTGTCCCCTCAGCTGCTCCCACATGCTCCTCCCTGCCGTTTTCCTCATCTCCTTCGCTGCCCTGGTGGCCTGCCTGTGTCACAACCCCCTCTACATGATGGTGTTACGGTGAGCAGTGGGCAGGGGAGCTTGTGGGGCAACAAGTTTGAGCTGCATAAAGATCTGAGGAGCACAGTTGTGCGCCACTTGACCAAGTTTTGCAGGTTTCTCTTTCATCAGTAACAGGAGGGGCTCAATAAGCAGGAACCCCCTTGTTTTAATGCAAGAAGAGCAACCCCTTCCTCCACACCCCTGGCTATGAAGTATGGCAATTCCCTAAACAGTAAAATGTTTCCTATTTCAGCAATGCTCTTCCTTGCATTTTATGTCAGGGAGAATGGAGCAGAGCCTCACTTAAGAACAAAACCCTACTCTGTAGCATCCCCATGACTTTTCACAGCAGCTATCCCCGCAGCTCTCCCTGGTGCAGACCTGAGCTCCTCCTAATCCCCACGGGGTCATCCAACCTCTGTTCTCCATTCCAAACTGGGGAGAAACTGGGTCCACAGCTATGAACCTGACACTGAAACCAGAAGAACACTGCTCCAGCTCTGACCTCACTTGGCTTCTCCCTTGCAGGGTGGTGAACCAGGATGAGAAGTCATTTGCCATTGGCGTCCAGTTCTTGCTGATGAGGTTGCTGGGTGAGTGACCGCCTCCTGATGAGGCTGGGGGGTGAGAGGGCCCTCTGAAGCTTGCTAGAGACACAGGAGGCATGGAACCTCCTTGGAGGCAGCAGGTGAAGCTGGCAGGAAGGGCAGAGAGCCTGACCCAGCCCTCTCTTCTCCAAAGCCTGGCTGCCAGCTCCAGCCATGTTTGGTGCCCTCATCGACTCCTCCTGCATCTACTGGCAGAAACAGTGCTCACAGCGTCGCTTCTGTGCCTACTACAACAACGACTTCCTTCGCAACAGGTACCTGTCCCCAGCTGTGGCACCTGGAGCTGCCACAGGCACAGTCCCCAAAGCTGACCTCTGGAGTCACCTCTCCGGATAGGGCATCTCTCTCCTCTTCTCTTTACAGATACCTGGGGCTGCAGATGGGATACAAAATGGTGGGCACCCTTCTCCTTGCCCTCATTGGCTGGAAGGTGAAGAGGAGCAAGGAGTACAACGTGCAGGAGAAGGCGGCCGGCCTGGTGTAACTGCACAAAGACTGACTGCACTTCATTCCCCACCACCAGCACTTTGCCTTTTGGGGAATTTGGTTGATTTCTCCTTCTTTTGTAATGGAGCAACTTCAACATAGCAGCTCCTCACTCCTCTCATGACAACCCAGCCTGGGGCGAGGGCATCTCTCTGCTCCCAGCAAAGGACAATCCCCACTGGTCCCATCTTTGGATGCAGCCTTGGACACATCAGGGACCAGCTCCTCCAGGTGGGTCATCCAGACTCACCCATTGCTTTGCACTCCCAGATGGGGGCTGTGTTCCAGCCTGGACCCACGAACACAGATGCAAGCAATGGTCCTGCTCCAGACAGGATAGGAGCAAGCAAAGTTGCTGCCAAGTCCTGGGGGCTTCCCTTCCCCTGCCAATCCCTCTTGTACAGGTCAGCATGGACATGAGAAGTTGTCACTTGTGGTTTAGTACAGAACATTTTGGAATGGGTTTGACTGTTGTGTTTGTTTGTTTTTTAATAAAGGTCAATTTTCCACGTGGTGTGTTGGTCACCCCCACCCTGTTCAGAGCTGTCCCTATGGGCAGGCAAGGGGGGGTATGGGGTTTCTGCCTCAATGCTGGGACAGAGCTGAGTTAGGGGAATAGAGCTGGGTCTGAGTGATGAAGCTGAGGTGGAGAGATGGAGGGAAACTGCAGCAAGACAGGGTGGGGAGGGATGGAGCCAGGCAGGGGAAGCTCAGTGTGACCCCTGTGACCCTAACGTCGCTAAGAAGAGCCAAGGCAGAGGTCAATAGAGAATGACCAAACCAGGACTTGAGAAGAAACATTTAGTCAAATGCTTTATTACAGAAATATTTTTCAAAAAGAATAACTTAAAACCAAATGGGGCCTCATGCTACTTTATCCCACCAGATGGCGATGCTCGGTCTCTGCTTTCAAAGAAGGTAGGTCTTAGCAAGCAGAACTACCACTCAAGCAAACAGCAATATTCTCCAGAAAAGGGAGCTGAAGCACAACAAACACACTTCAGCAATGCTTTGGCTGCAGCAAATATCAAAATATAACACACTCCCTAAATATAATCCTCCCCACCTCCTGTGTGGACCAGAACATCTCTCAGCTTATTTTTAGAGCTCCACTGTGAGCACAGGTCTGTGCTCAAGCCTGTTTTTATTCCTTCCATCAATACTAACATTTGGCAATACTACAAAAGGAGTCAGAGGATGCCCAGAAAGAAAGGAAAAGAACAAAGAACATAACAGATCAGACGAGCCATTAAACAAGCACTAAACCAGAGAGAAACCTACAAAGGGCAGAAAAGATCCATATCCAAGCCATAAGCTTACTCCTTGTCAAGAACTAAACAGGAAACAATAAAACGAGAGAAAAAACTTCAATGCAGTAGGACCTTGCAATTCCCAGCACTGAATCCTGGAGAGCAATCCTCCTCAGAGAGATGTGTGAAGCCAGCATCCCACCAGAGCATCACACTGCTGGGCAGGGCAACTGATAAGTGTCTTAAGGCTGCTGTTCAGAAAGGAAAAAGTGAAGCATAGGGTCTCATCTCCCACCTGACTAATACAGATACTTCTGCAAGTTCTCCCTTTACACAACCAATATTCCTGGCTGCAGCAAAGAAAAAGGAAAGCAAAAGTCCTTTGGAAAGTTCAGGTCTAAGGCATTCTGAGTCAGACCCCACTCCAAGCCTCAGAGCAGCCAGCTGAGCCTCTCCAAGAGCTACAGCAACAGGCATTCCCTGAAAACCAACTGATGAGATCACACACAGCAGCAGCTTTGGCTTCAATTGCCTCAAACAAACAGGGAAAAGATCACATATTCTTCTCCACTGAGCATCTTCCTCAGAAGGAAGAATTGGGCTCACACTAATGTGCTATCAGCTCACCTTTCTCTCTTCATTTTGCTGCAACAGCTATGATGAAAAACACAAAATGGTCTCTTTATTGTAGACACTGGAGAGGAGACAGGCAGGAGACATAACAGCAAGTGTCTGGCATGACAAATCTGACTCCTAACATACATATGAATCCAAAAATATTCCACTTTCATTGAGTCAAGCTAGGACTGTTCTGTAACTGTCATTCACAGGGAGTGCGTTTACACAGTCTGTTGGAGAAGAGCCTGAAGTACAGGAAGAGGAACAGAGAACAACAAGCTTTCAAGACATAGCCCTGACAGAAAGAAAAACTCCCAAGAACTGTCCAGCAGAAGTTATCAACCAAAGACACAGGCACCACAGCCAAACACAGGCACTGCACAGTGACACGGGCAGATCAACCAGCTTGCCTTTGAAATTTAACAAGTCACTCCAGATCCACAGAAACTGGACTACACCAGTCTGGAAAAATAAGGAGATAAAAGACAAGAGGACAACAGCTTTTTATATTCACCCCAGTGACTGCCCAATGGAGAGAATCTGTGCACTTTGTCATGGCAGCACTCCCAGGCAGCAAGAAGCTGCAGAACGAAGTCAAAATCAGGAGGTGATCAGTCACCCCACGAAGCAACAGCAATGCAATGCTAAAACAGAGCAGAAAAGGACAGACTACAGCTTCTAGACTCACCTGCCAGTGTGTTCCTTCCTAAGTTGCCTGGCAGCTGGATGATGAAAATGCAAAAGATTTCAAGGAAACACAGAAGCCACAGCAGGGTCAGCAACAGAGGATAAAAAGTGAGGAGAGAGGAAAAAATTGTGGTAGTGTGACAGAGACAGAGGAAGTCACACCAGTAATTGTTATATGCTCCCAAGCAGAGGAAGACAACGCAATGCTTTTCCAGCTTTCAGCTTCTCCTTTGGTAAGATCCGAGTACTTCAAGCCATCTATTTTCTTTCACACCCCAAACATGTCCCCCACCTCCTCAGGTCTCTCCCTCTCATCCTGCCCTCCTCTGTTCAGGCAATCTTAGCCAGCCATTTCTCAAGGCCCTCAAAGTCAGCATCTCCCTCCTCTCCCTTGCTGCCACGAGCACTGCACTCCACAAACTCCACCTTCATGGGCAGCTGAGAGAAGTCAAAGTCCTTGCCCTTCTTCCCCAGCTGAGCAGGGCCCCCAGTGGCTGAGGCATCCAGACTGGTGGGGGCTGCAGAGCGGGTCACTCGTAAGGTGTTACTGCAGAAAGAGAAAGGAGAAGATCAGGAACTGTGACATAGCAAAATGACACCTACAGCATAACCAGAGATGCTTTGGTTTTAGCTGTCAGCAGGACATCAGCAACACCAGGGACAGAAGGCCCCAGAGGCATACCCATGTCTCTGCCCCATGAATCACAGGCAGGGACAAGCACTTTGTCCACTTGTAAACAGCTGCTGCAAGGCACAACTGAGAGAGGCTCAAGAGAGAAAGACAGATCATGGATTTGGTGAAAGAAGCAGAACTTCTAAATAGGCAAAGGCACTTTCCATTGGTAGTGAATGAACCCAGACTGTGAGAGCTGCTTGTCTGACTGAAGACGCCTAAAACTAAAAGGATGTTTGGCCCACAGTGCTCAAATCCACACTGTTTTGACAGGTTAACTGGGAAAACAGGCACCCATGACATAAAGGATCATGCAGATCTTCACTCCATAGCCACCCAAACGTGCCAAATATTTTTGAAGACTGAGAGGTGGATCCAGCCTCCCCAGTGCTCCAGCAAGCAGTGCCTGACCAAGGACCCCAGGCTGCAACACTGCTGTTGTTCCTGCCCTTCATCTTGTGGCAGCATCTCAGCAACCTGGCACCCATACGGAGGAAAAACCTCACTGCTCACACTCAGACATCCTGCTCCCACGAAGTGCAAACTAGAGGCAGCACGGGGACAAACAACAGCCTGAAAAGGTGTGAGGCACTGCAGTTTGATGGCTTTTGGAACACTAGAAGCAAAGCCAGGGAAGTCCAGCTGCATCAGGCACAGATAAAACAGCAATCTCTACCCAGAACTTTGTATTGCAGAAGGGAAGGTCAGGTCCTCAGCAGTGAAAATGCAACAGTACAAATGACCCTGCTGCCACCCACTGGCCAAAGAGGCTAGCAACAAGACAGCTCCATCCCAGGAACGCTCATTGGACACCAAAGAGCTACAAATGAACCATGGGGCATTGATTCTCCACACTATAGCTTCAAGGAAGCAACACACTACCTATCTTCTTTTTTGTCAAGAGATGAATGTTACTAGATCTTAGTGCTCTAGCAAGGACACTCTTCCCTCATCGTGACTACACCTCCACAAACAAAACAGACTTCTTTTTTTATTCAGTGAACACGTATGTTCAAAGGACTCACTAAACACAGGCAGAAGAGACAGAAAGGAGAAGACAGAAGTTCAAAGGATGATTTAAGATCCAAATTCACACTTACAGCTCTTTCTCCAGCTGCTGTTGAATCAGTTTTGCAGATTTTGCCATTGTGACATCTAGAGAGAAAACAGAAAAGGAAATAATTAGCTCTTCGGTATAATGTTAGAATCTGCTTCCTGCTCCTAAAGGTACAGCAAGGCTTGATCATATCATGCTGCCATAAGACTTAATGGGACAACAGCAGTAGTGTCAGTGCTAGGATAAGGGACAGAAAAGCTTTAGATCTGTTGGTAGGAATGAGAGCAAACCCAGGACCTGATTTAAGGCAGGAAATTAATTTCTTTTCATGGTCTGGAAATAGGGCAGTAAATCACTTCAAACAAGGCCCAGCATGCTCACCTGTCCTGGCATTACAGAGCCCAGCACAGTGCTTTCTAGAACTTGAAAGTCCCAAGACATTCCTATGATACTACAAGAAAAAACTAGAAAAGCAAACATGGCACTAGCAGAAAGTTTCAAACTATTCTACAGGGATCCACATCACTGCAGGAAAAGCTGTAGAGATTGGGCTCTTAAGCCTGTCTAAAGAGCTCTAGCTCTTCACGTGGTCCTTTTCTGCAAAGCTATTTGACATTCCTGACCTAAGAATTCTTCCAAACTTCCTGCTAGAAACGTTCTTGCTGAGCAGTCTTAGTCTACAGCTAATTTTCTGCCTTCATTTTGCTGAAATCCTGACCCCTAAGAAATTCACCATGCATAGTGCAACAATATAATGTGATAGAAAACACAGCAATGACAGCAGGGTAGCAGAGTCCCATGCTTCTGCAAGTGAAGATGAGCTGAAGTGCAGCAGCTGTTGATACAGAAACAAAGAAAAAAAAGCTGTTTACCTTCAGAAGGCTTCAGGTAGGCAAGGCTCGACAATGAAATACCCTCACCTCCTACTATACTAACCCTTAAATGAGGTCTGGAGGGAGTGGATCCTGGTTCCACCAGGATTACATTGCATGCACCTGAGCTCCCCTCAGGAAGGCCCTGCCTTCCACCAAGTGCTCAATCACTGCTTCAGGCCGTGACTTAGCATTTCTGCCACACAGGGCATTAACTCTAATAATCACTCGAGGACTGAATCACTATTTCCACCTTCAGGGCAGCATCCAATACCTTGTTTATTGCAAGCAATCAGCAGTGCAGGTGCATTTTTGAGAACAGTGCTGTCAACCAGGACCTGGTACAGGAACTCAGCCACATCCTTCACCTCCCGCTGGAAGGCTACGCTGTCAACCACAAACACAATGGCCCTGAGAAAAAGAACACATGTAGGACATGAACCTCTGTAATACAAAAAGCAGGTTAGCACATGGGGACTGAAATACATCTTGTATTGATATCCAGGAGGAAACCTGTTTCTCTCTCTGTCCCAAAGACATATTACATGTCCTAAGCCTCCCAACTGCATTACCTCCATACCTTACCTCCCCTCCCCTCCCTTACTATGAAGTAGGCAATCAGAACACTATGCCCCAGCAACACAAGGCAATGCTCTGACTCCCTGATCACACACAACAAAACCCCTACCTGGCTCACTGCAGGTCATGTGTCTCATCCCTGGTACTAACACCACCTGGCACCACCACCACCTCTGTCCATCTCCACGTTACCTGGCTGCAGCCTTGAACCTCTCCAAGAATTGAAGCCGCAAGCTTTCGTGGCCCGGGAGATCTATTAAAGTCACATTAGTGCTCTGGGAACAGAAAAGAGGGGTGTTAGCAACACTTACACCAGGAATAATGGCAATCATACCCTGCAGAAAACCAATCTGGGAGCAGATTCCAGTTAGCCTGTGCCAGGGCAGAAGCACATGAGTGAAGCCCACACTGGACAGAGGTGTGTAATCCACCCCAGGATCTCTCCACCACCCCCAGTAATTCTGACAAGCAAAAGAAATTGCTGAGGAACAACACTCATGGCCAGGACTCTAAGGACGGCCAACACCAGTAAACCATGCAGCAGAGCTGACAGAATACAGCACAATCACAGAGAAAAGAGCATGCTCAACCCACTTCTCTCTTCCCTATGACAACCAACCACATCATAGTGCGAGTAGCAAATCTTTGTGAGCTCCTTGGTCACTACACCAGCAGATTTACTCTGTCTCTGTTAGTAAGTGTATCTCTGCACAGCAAAATCACAAACTCCTGCAAATCCCTGATGCAGAATAATACCCCCACAATCTCTGAATGTGAATTGATTTGAATTTAAGCTGCAAATCAACCTAAATACTCAAAACTTTGCTGGAAATAACATAAGAACAGCCTTGCAAGATGCTCTCTGAATCAAAAGCAGCAAATATTTCTCTTTCCATAGGCAACTAGATGACAAAACAGTGACATTGAAGAGAACAAGTGCCTCTCACAGGCTCCTAATCAAGATGTAGCCACCGAGGGCCACATCAGCATTCTCAGGATAACACCTCCTGTTATTGAGAGGGGAGAGAATGTTTTGTAAGACCCTGACTTCTGTGCTGCTTTTGTGTTTCAACAGAGATTCTCAGCCAGAAAAGCAGCAGCCTGTCACAGCATCCCAACACCTCTCCCTCAAAATATCTCCTGTCTGCTAAGTCCCAGAGACATTAAAAAAGAACTGCAGTCCTTCTCATCATTTTAAATCTCTTTCTATTACTATTGTTAATAAAGATCTCCAGAGAAAAGGCAGAAAAGCATCCTCTACTTTCACAATTCACCAGCAGACACCATGCTGCCACCTCGTGCTTCGCTGCCACGTGTGCACCTGGCAAGACACAGGAATGCTTCTGAATCTAAAAAGATTGCCACAAACCAAAAATAAACGAAGGTCTGAAAGTAACCAACCCCCCCTGGGAAGCAAATGAAGCTCTGCTGGAAGCTCTTTCCTTCACAAACCTACTTTCTACTCCATGTCAGACCCTCTCCTTGTGCACTAACAGAAAGCTGTACCACAGGGGCCGAGCAAGGGCTGCTTCCCAGCTGGGAGCCTGCAAAGCACGAGAGGCATAAGTGCAGCTCAGCGCTGGGAGCCTCAGCACAGAACGCCAGTGGCATCCAACACCTGAAGCACTGTGCACCGCTATGGCTGCCTGCTCACCTTGTCGTTGCTCACTCTGTAAACGGCAGAGCTGTCGGTTATGGAGGTCTGCGTATCTCGGTATTTGCCTGTCAACAGCTGCATAGAGAAAAACGATAGCAGCAATAAAGCCAACCGTTTGCAACATGAGGGTCGTGAACCGAGCACGCGGCCGAACCGAGCGCTCACCCGGGCGAACAGCAGCGTCTTCCCCGCGTCGCAGAGGCCCAGCAGCAGCACGGCCCTGCGGCTGCTCCTTGCGCCCTGCGCGAGCCTCCAGAGCACTGCGGGAGAGAGGAGAAAACGCCTGAGCCCCCGTCGCCTCCCGCTGCCGCCTTCCCCCGGCCGGGCCCGCCCCGGGCCGCGACTCACGGAGCGTGAGGGCGACGACGAACAGCGCCAGAAGGACGGAGAGAGCGGCAGGGCCGGGCGACTGCAGTTCCCGCCGCAGCGAGTCCAGATACGGCTCCATGGCACCCGCCATCACCGCCCGCACGCACACGTCCTCACTGCGCCGCTTCCGGCCGCGCCGGATCACTTCCGGTTCCGTCACGGCACTTCCGGTCTCTCCCCGTGTCGCTGTGCCGCGGGGTCTGCTGGGAGTTGTAGTCCGTCGGGAAAAGGGGCAAGGATGGGAAGGAGGGTCCAAAAGCACCCAGCGTTTGTTGTAGGCCCTCGGTTTGTTCGGCCCTGAGCGCGGGAGCTGAGCAGAGCCCTCACAGGGAGCCGATGGGCACGGAGCTGCGTTGGGGAGGGGCGGCTGGGGGCAGGGAGAGGTTCTGCAGCACAGGGCGGTGGGCACGGCACGGCTCCGTGGCGGAGCTCAGGGAGGGCTGGGACACCGCTGCGAGACACCGGGTTTGGGTGGTGCTCGTGGGGCCGGGGGTTGGCCTCGGTGATCCGTGTGGGTCCAACTCTGTGACTCTCCTCAACAATGCCTACTGCTTTTTAAGAGTACTGCGTGGTGGAAAGAACTGCTTCTGCTCCATTCGTATCCCGCCAGTTGAGAGATGAGGTGGAGTGACTTCCATTCACACTTTCCACTGTGTTTCTGTGGGCTTTTTGTTGTTGTTTATCTTCTCCACCCTTCAGCTTCCCTCATTCCAACACCCTCCCTCTTCCCCCTGTCCCAACCGCAGTGGGCAGCTGTTGACCGCTGGGGAGACAATGGGATAATCTAGGTGAAGCCAAAGCACAGATAATACAAAACATCTCTTAATTAGGATCTAGGGCATATTTAATCCATTTTGCTTTGGAAAATATTGAACGCGATTTCACTCGTGGGCAGCAGGAACCTCAAATGGCAGTAGCCACGTTGGTGCCTGGCACCACCCTGCAGCAAGGGGTGCTGGGGAAGGAATGTGCTTAACGACTCTTGAAAAATCTCAGGAAACCCATTTAGATGTTGAGATTTTATTTCTTGCTGTGGCAGTAGCAAAGAAGCCACGTTCAGAGTGATGAGGATGGGCAGAGGAAGCAGCAATGGCAGAGGGTCCTCTGCACATCAGTGTTCCGTGCAGAGGACACGAGAGGAGTCATGGCACGAAGTTTCCTCCCTCTTCAAAAAGGGCCCTTCCCTCCCATTACTTGTTCTGAAGGAAGGTGCACACCTGGAGGAGATCTGAAAAGGAAAAGGACAGGGAGAAGTTCAGACCTTGTGCTGAAACAGAAGACACAACACACTCCTGTCCCACCAGCATGCACCCAACCATGCCAACATTGTCACAGCACAGGAAACATGTCCAGCATCCCACCAGAAGTGAGCCTTAACCACAGATGACACCAAGTACACGCTAACAGGACACAGTGGGCTGTTATACTACTTCTCAGATTGCCTGTTTTCTAAAGGCAAATAAAAACCTTTCATTCTCGTTGATGCCAGAGTAACACATTTCCAATCTGGCTTCAGTTAGCTCAAGAAATTCTGGGAAAAGTATAAAGACAGCTTCATGAGTTATCCTCTTTTTTCTTTTAAGAAATTAAATGGGCAGCAACAGGAATAACTGTTCATATCTCTGAAACTAAACACTGCAATTGACTGACATTTTTTTTGAGGCTGTTACATTTACCTGATGGGTTGCAGGTATTGAGGCTGGAAATCGTGTTATAGTATTTATCTCCGAGGAACTCCTTGTATGTAATTCCTTGGCGGAGTTTATTCAGGCACTTGGTTAAGTCTTTAAACAGAAGATCTTTGGTTTGAGACTCAAACATCACAAACTTGCTTCTCTCACTTCCACTTATTCCAAACCGTTCCTGAAATGAAGTCATGAAGAGGTAAGTGTATGTAAAGAGTAGAAACAAAGCAAGATTTGGCTTGTACAAGCCTCTCAGTAGCAGTTCTTCACTATGATGACCACTGTCATGGGGAGCTGTTCTACCTGCCTGTAGGAACAGTTCGGGAGGGATGGAGGAAGGGGAAGCTTAAGGGATGAGGCTCTGACCCTGTATCAGTAAGTCAAAATCTTCCACATTTTGCTGATGTGAAATGCAGAGCATCTCTGCTCTAAAAATATCAACACACAATGTAAAAACCATCCCAGAACATTCCTTCTGCTGTCAGGACCACCAACCTGCTGTCTCTCCATCAGCTCACTGATTTTGTTTGCTTTCTCTGGGCGCACGACCACAGCATGGGTAGGAACTTCAGCCAGGTTGCACTGCCTGTAATCCATAACATTTGCCCGTCTCCCATCAGTGCACAGCAACTCAAAGTCGTCCATTTGCAGATCCTTGGCCCACTCAGCTTTGTTTTTGCCTATGAAGGGAATGGATTTGGAGGTTCAGAGATCTTGTGTAGCAGAAGCACAGTCACACTGACAGCAAGCAGCAAAGTGTTTGTCCCTGCACTGATGCGCACTGACCCTTGGATACCCTGTGAGTACTGAAGGGGATGCAAGTAAAACTCAGGAACAGTCAATGGGCTGAATCAGACTCTCAGAGCAGGCTGGCAGGTTGCTACAACTTTTTTTCATGTATTTTTTCCCCACAAGCTTCGAAAACTTCAGCCACTACTTTCAGAAATGGGACCTGAACTTTTCCATTTCAGGCAAGCAGGGAGCTAGAATACTCTGCAATGGTGCTGAGGCAGGCGGCTGTGGTTTATAGGCCACTGGAATAAATGTATATCCAAAATGAATGTTTTGGGAACAGAAAGAATGCAGATCAGGGGAGGCAGCCCTCCAGGCCCCATGCAATAGGATAACCACGTACCGCCAGTGTTTTCCTCCACAATGGAATGCTTGATAAAGGCCACGTCACCCCTCTCAACCAGACACCTGCAGAGTACAAAGAGAGGAGGTGCACATTTCAGTAGCCATGTCAACTTGCATCACAGTGACTCCACCCCTGCAGCATCTCTCCACTATTAGATGCAACTGAAACAAGATTAATTCCCTTTCTAAATTCATGCCCAGTCTGAATTACCTAGACATGAGCTGTTACTGTGTCAGTACAGACAGAACAGAACCAGGAGACAGAACCAGGGCTGACCTCTGGCCCCTTCTCTTTTTAGGGGCTGAGCACTACCTGAGCATCTCCCCCACCTACCGTAAAGCTCCAGTGTATCCAAAGTATTTCTCGTGGCTGTTAGCAACGCAGTTCTCCGGTGGGATTTCCCCAGAGCCCTGGCACAGCTGGCAGAGGCGAGAGCCAGGAGGAGACCCAGGAGCACAGCCCGCGCTGAAGTATTCATCTGAGGGCAGGAATATGATAAATTCACTTTCTCTACTCTGAAAAATTGGGGTTTCTTTTCGCAGCACATTATGGGCTGCATTATGTTTGGCAGGAATCTGAGAGCTCAGGGGGAAAAGGGGACCATAGAAAAAACAGAAAGAAGGTTGGAGAGGCTGCATAAAACTTACTAACACCAGTAGGTCCCTGAGGTTACATTTCCCATTAATAATTATATGTTTATTTTTCCTTGGTTCATAATTTCACATTATTTTTGTTGGACTGTAATTCTCACTGATAGGAAATTGGACGTAGAAGTTGAGCTGCAGACTTTTAACCCACAGTTCTTAAGGGAGTCATATCAGACCTTTAAAGATTCTTGAACTGAAATCAGCCTCTGTCCCCTGCTCCCAGCCCTGCAGGGACTCATAAATCCATCCTTCACCCCTACCCTGCACTCTGCACAAGGAGCAGCCTGTCCTCCTACTTGGGGAATGCTTTTTGGGCTGCCAAAAGTGGGAAGGGGGGAAATGTGAAAAGAAAGCAAAGCCCCCCAAAGCAGCTGATGTGCTGCATCCTGCTTGCAAGCAGTCACCAACAGCCTGAAACTTTGCTCAGTGAAATCTTAAGTAACAGACTCATTTCATTTTCCATCTCCAAGTGAGAGTCTTCGAGGCATGAGAAGTTTTGAAAATCAGAAGATGCGTGGCAAAACACTTTTCCTCATGGATTTCCATCTCAGACAAGCAGATGCATGACCTGACTCACCGAAATTGCAGCTCCCTGTTCTGTTGTGAATCAAGCCCATGGGGATGTTCCAGCCAGCAGTCCTCCCCACAGCAGTGTGGCACGACTTCTTGCCCTTCAGATTGTTCCAGTTGACATCGCTGCCTTTCTTCACGACAGCCACAGCAAAGTATGATGCTTTTGGGAGAAAGATGGAGGAGAATTAAGGCTTGATCCCAGAGTCCCACTGCTCTCTCTTAGCAGAGCGTCGGCAGAGGGCATCTACGTGCAGCATAGCAGAAACATTTTGTGCTTATTAAGGACTAGCCATGCAGCAACAAGAGAATGGTTTGCAGATATGATACATCTACTCCCACAGCACTCCTGGGAAATCATTATCCCTGTCGCTTTTCCCCCACTAAAACTCTGGCACTTGGGTCTGCAAGAAGGCTGTAGCAAGATATGTATAATGCAAGTCTCACAAATTCATATCCGCCCTTTAGCAAAGGATGAAATCTTCCCTCTTTTTGGCTTTTATTTCTATAAAAAGCAATTCCCTAAGGCTTCAGCCCAGATCCCCTTCCCCTTTTGCAGCCCTGGCTAAGTCATGGTGTGGCCATGCTCCAGAGAGCCACCACACAAATCTCTGCAGCTACTGGATGCTTTGCTTTGATCAGCAGACCCAGAATTTCCATGTGTGTGTTAAATTTACCACCCAGATTTTTAACATCAACACTGCACACAGTGGTTCTTACAAGACTCTATACAGAGACTTGGCCATGTATTCTCAACCTGTGACTGCAGGTGTATTTTTCTACTTTTATCCAAAAGGACTATTTCCTGCTCCTCTGTTGGGAATAATTACCTGGTTGTACTTCTGCTCTGCCACATTGGCTTCCATCTGTGGGAAGGAAAAAGATGATATTAGACAAAAGAAACATAAAATCCCAAACTGAATCAAGCTCACTAATTGCTCAGCTGGCTTTCAAGGTAGTATCAAGTGCATCAACAGAACGAAGAGCAGCTGGGATACAACACCAAGGCTGCTTTCTGGATTTCAGAATAAAAGCAGTGCTTTTGCATCAGCCCTGTCTCCCCTGCAGGGCTGCACTCACCGTCGTATCGTTCTGACATCACTGGCACCAGGCCACAGACACCAGCAGTGTAGACCAGACCTCCATCAAGGGTAACAGCATCTGCTTCACCTTTCTGCAACAAAAATTGCACAGTGATGAAATGACACTGTATTTCCCCAAACTGGATCATAAAAGAAGCACTGGGTGGGAGGACGACAAGCTGGGGGCAAGGGACTCGAGAAGCCATTCTTTGCATACAGACAGATGAGTTCTGTAAGATGTGACAACGGGGAAAATTTTGGAGACTTGTTAGGTCCGACTCATCAGACCATATCTTCACTTGGCAGAGACAAGGCATTAGAGCCCTGCTGGGCAGCATCAACTGGGAAGGGGACATGCTAACTGCAGGAGATTTCCCTCTTGGGATCCTGCAGCCCTATTTGTTCTTCTGTCAAGGCACAACTGATCCAAGCCAGTCAGTCTAAATAACTTTTCTCAACTAATTATCATTCAAAAACCTTGGCCAATACAACCACTTCATTTTTATGTGAATTTAATATCTCTTTCTCGCTTTCTTCTTTTTATATTTTACTATAGTTATTTTCCTTTTCCAAGTAAAATGTTGCTTCTTACCAGAAAATTACTTTTTAATGCAGAGAAACCAAAATAGAACACCTTCAGAAATGTAAATCCCTGAAAAGCTCATCGAGCCCTTTCCCCATGATCAGGTTGGTTTCTGCCTGCTAGTATTTCTCAGAAAATCTCCTACATTTGTAGACTCCAGCCCCACATCTATTCCCAGGCTGAAAAGGGCAATGCCACTCTCTATCTGAAAGGAACTCAGGCTGAAGGAAAGGAAAAAAAGCCATACCATGATCTTAATGATGCAGTCCTTTGTCTCATCTACCACGGTGCATTCCACATCCCCGTTGCTCACCACACTCCAGCGGTCACACTTGCTCTTCTCATCCTTGCCTACTGCACACCACTGGATCCTGTTTTCTCTGGGGCTGGGAGTCAGCTGATCTATAAGGTCAATAAGGAAGAAATAATTAGTCTAGAGCTCTGTGGAACCACAGATCAGGTGGGCTTGGGGGTGAGAAGTGCTGTGCCATGAAACCCTTTGTGCACATGAATGAGAAGATCTGACCTAAGAGTCTCAAGATGGGGGCTAGAGATGGAGAAGCACAACCTACATTTCTGTGAAGCAACACTTGAATAACTTCTTCTGATGCTATGTGAAGTCCATGCATCTCCTTCCACAAACACCAAATTGGCTGATCTTATAACAGCGATCTCTGCCAAACTATGAATTTTAAGTGGCTTTTGGAGGTCCTTTGCAGGACCTTTGACTCAGAAAACCAGCTTGGAAATGTGTGATGAGTCTAGATGGAAGCAAAGCACCCTGCTGCTCTCATATGGTCAATTCTGGGCTTGATGTCTTGGGATGTTCCTTCTGATCCTGTACCCTTACATACCAGAGACAGCTATTCTGAGCAGCAGTTCTGAGCATACCAATTCCCTTCCACCCACACAAACCAATACCTTTCACAGGAAATACTTCATGCAGAATACTCTCCAGACTTGAAAAAGGCCATTCCCACCTTTCCGCATGCTCTGGATGGCAGTGTAGTACTCAAAGCCCAGGTAGAGCTGAGAATCCATCAGCGAGGGGACACGCTTCAGCATTATGGCAGAGTCTTTGAAAAGCAAGTCTTTGAAGACTGGGTCCTTCTTTCCAGGTGGGCCAAAGAGGTGGAAGTCACTCTTGGTGTCCACGCCAAAGTCGGTCTGCCAGGGGAGAAAAAGAATCAGCCATTATCATTCCAGAGCACTTGGAAAGTGGGAAAAGAGCAAGCAAAACCATGGGGCAGAGGAAGGGGTGGCAGGGGAAGGATAGCTGAGCTGGAAGATACCTGTGCTTTTGAGAGGAAGTTCCAGATATCTTCAACCTTGCTGTCATCCCGAGCCACAACAGCATGAGCAGCCACTCTGGCCCAGTTACAGGTCTTGTAGCTGTCCACAGGCTGCCGGCTGCCATCCAGGCACAGCAGCTCGTACTCATCCTTCTGATCCGGGGCGTTTTCTGGAGGAAGGGAAGAACCACGACTTGCATCTCCACCAAAATACACAAATACACACACAAAAGCCCAGCCTGGGGCAGCATCATAATGAATTTATTCTTGCTGAAGGCAGGAGAGACAAGCTGCACACTGCTCTTTGCAATGGCAATAAGCCTCCAAGGATGGAGGCTGCACAGACTTCTCCAGACTGAAGGAACTCAGAGCATTTGCTGTGGCAATGCTATAGTTCCCTCTATAATATGGCACCAATAGTACCTTTTGAATTTAAATCCAGCAGGTTTTCCTTCTGCAAAGAAGAATCCCAAAGAAGAAACGGACCCCACCTCAATCATGTTTTTTAGTAACTAGGATGAGTTCATCCAGTAACACATCCAATGGGTCAAATATGAACAGACTGCAGGTTTTGGACAAATTAAGGTTTGCACAATGCAGACTAATGCCAGGATGGAAGGGGAGCAAGAGGTCAGAGAGGAAAGAAGAGAAGTCAGTGATTCACAGGCTTACCTTCAACAGTTGTGTGCTTCACAAAAGCTACGTCTCCTTTTCCATCTTTCAGACAACTGTGGGTGGAGGAACCAGAAGAGATGTTAAAAAAACCAACAACGAACAGACATTGTGGCTTCCTAGCTCCTATTTCAGCAAATTGCTTTGGCTAGAGCTGCAATCATAGAGCAGTAAGCAGTCTTTCCAAAAAAGTTATGCTGGCAGAGAAGTAAATATAATGGCAGAGAAGTGTTCCCCAAGAAATCCAGTTAGGCTTAGCACAGTGCTAGTGCTGCATATTCCTAAGTCTGTGCAAAATAGAACTGCTGAGCTCCCACTCTCATCTTAATGCCTGCCAGTCATTACTAATTGGACTGCTAATTACCAGCAGTCCCAGCTGTTGTCAGCCCCTGGTTCCAACACAGCATTGCTTGTCATAATGGAAAAAAAACGTTCACTCACTGGAAAGCTCCAGAATATCCAGAATAAGGTGCATTGCGGGCACACTTGGTTTTGGGGTCCCCTTTGCACTGTCGGCACAGTTTTTGCTCGGTGGTGGCACCGGGCACGCAGCTGGCAGAGAAAAACTTGGCCACCGCTGTGGATGAGAAACAACACAATAATTATCTTAAAACTCACATCCACAATGACCTGGGAGGGAAAGACATCCAGGAAATGGCTTGGCTGCTGTGTGAGCTGCCTCTGAACTTGTGCAGAAGATCCAGCAACACTGCTTTCAGCTCACCACCCCCCTTAAGCTAACATCAGCCCATTTCTCTTGCTTTACCTTGCTCCACTGAGCCTGAGTCTATGCCTTCCCACTCAATGGCCCCCCGGCGGATGAGCGTCCCGATGGGGATGTTCCAGCCTGCAGACCTGCCCAGCCCTGTGTGGCAGGAGGTCTTGCCCTGCAAGTCATTCACGGTGAATTCGGTTCCCTTTTTCACAACAGCCACAGCATAGTAGCTGGTTGTGGAGCCTGCAGCAGAGGAAGAAATGAAAAAATGATGAAAAAGCAAGAATTTAGAACATTTCGAGTCCTGGCAAAGCTCTGGGCTTAGAGAATGAAGAGCTGCACTTCCAAGCAGTGCTCGTGGTCTGCCCATATTCCCAGCTGCAATGTCAATACGGAACCAGCGCTGCATGTTGCAACGTGTAATAAATAGTGGCCTGAAAATGCTATTCCATGCAAAATGCCATGTCACTGCACATACATTAGACTGTGAGACCTCAACAGTTCTTTCGACAACTCTTTGGTAGGTCTTGCCTCAGTGCTGCCCACTAAAGCAAGCATGCAAGCCTTATAGTGATAGGACAAGGGGGAATGGTTGTAAACTGAGACAGGGGAGGTTTAGGTTGGATATTAGGAGGAATTTTTTCACCCAGAGGGTGGTGAGGCACTGGAACAGGTTGCCCAAGGAGGCTGTGGATGCCCCATCCCTGCAGGCATTCAAGGCCAGGCTGGATGTGGCTCTGGGCAGCCTGGTCTGCTGGTTGGTGACCTGCACATAGCAGGGGGTTGGAACTGGATGGTCATTGTGGTCCTTTTCAACCCAGGCCATTCTGTGATTCTATGATTATGATTCTATGATTCTAAAGTTTCATATTTAGCCTTTAACTCAACACTGACTCTGTCACGTTACACATTAATAAAGTGGCTGAGCTTTAAGAATGGGCAGGAATGACTCAGCCGTGTTGCTTTGATCTCGAACATTGTGTACAAACAGGCTGACCTGCAGAACAGAGGTCAAAAGGGATTGGGGGCTCTAGATCTGTGGAACTGCTCAAGGTGATAAGGGCAGAAATGGAGAAATAGTGTCCATCTGGCTCCCAGGAGAAACAACAGAGGGAGGAAGGACAGTGTAGGGAATGGGGAGGAACGGAGAAGCTGGGCTAACTCTTATCAGTGGCAGAATTCTATTATGCCTCTCTACATTCTTCCTGTGCATTTCTGCTACCACCATTTAACTTAAAAACTCCATGGGAAAACCTACCTTCAGTGTGTTCGTAAACCTCAGCAGCAATGGGTTTCAGCTTGTATGGGGCAAGGCCTGCCTCAAACACTTGACCGCCGTCCAAGCTAATGGCATCTGCCTCATTATTCTAAACAACAAGAGAGTTCAATCAGTTGGATCTTAGGAAAAATTTCTTCTCAGACAAAGCAGTGAGGTATTGGAACAGGCTACCCAGATTGGAGTTACCAATGGTGCTGAAGAACCACAGAGATGTGGCATTGAGGGACGTGAGCATTATGGGGTGGGCTGGGGTTGGACATGATGACCTTTGAGGTCTTTTCCAATCTTAGTGACACTGATTCTATGACCCCCATGGATGCGCCCTTCCCTACAGCAGGTGGTGATGGGAGGGAAGCCTCTTCTCCAAGGGATGCTGAAAGCCCCCCAAGGCCCAGCTCTGGCTTTGGCAGCCCACTCACCGCAATGGCTTTTATGCAGTCAAGGTACGTTGCTTTCTGCACACAGGTCAATGTAATCCTCTCTTGTTGTGTGAGGTCCTTGAGGTTGTTGCATTTCTTCTCTTCCAGAGAGGATATGGTGCACCATCTGATGGTTGTCTTGGGGGGAGCAGCGAAACACACAGCTGTGGGGAGAACCAAAACAATCAAACAAAAAAAAGGAAACAGAAAAAAAATAGTCTCAGAGAGGGAGAAAGGCACCAGGGGAAGAGAAACAGCATCTCTGTCTCCTTGCAGTCATGGCCCTGGGTGAACAGCAGGACCTCCCCTGCATACCTCTGAAGGAGTGCTCCTTTGGGAGCACCTGGAAGGACCCCCTGCCCCTGGGTGACCCAGCACTGCAGTCCCAGCAGCCTGAGCTCTCAGCAGCACCCACAGGAGCAGGAGAACAAACCCACACGCTCCAGCAGAAATCAAACCCAAAGCACATTGCAAAAGCAGAAAGAAAATGCAGTCCTACTGAAGCAGTCTCTTTGCAGATAGCCCCAGAGGGACAGCAGCTCTGGTCTGGGCAGACTGCATTCACCACACTGCCATGCATATTATCCTGGCAGCTGATGGGATGCATTCACTTCTCACTACCCATCTCCACCAGCACACCCAATGACAGCAGTACTGTATCCTCTTCACTCCACCCAAACTCCTCTTGTTAGAGTCCCCCCAAGCAGTAAGCACTGCTCTGAGAGTCTGCATCAGAGCACAGACTTTCACCCTCTCAGCACAAGAAACATGGGAATCTTGCAGATAAAGTGCAGGTAAAGTACAGATAAAATACACAGCGGGTCTCATACCAGTGTGGGCAGCCCATGCTTCACGCTTCCCTTTAGCTGTGCACCTTCCTGGATGCACACTTTGCCTTCTCCAGACCCTTGGTGGCACATTTTGTTCATCCTCTGGTTAACCCATGCTGTCTGCATTTTCCTTTTCACCTCTGAAACATACTCTATTACTGGCTTTAGGAGGCAGAATTCTTCCCACAGACACCTCCCTTCCTCCCACACTGACTGCGGTCACAAGAGGAATTCTAAGCCCTAATTCCCACTGCTGTAAGCTATGGGTTTCATGTTTTGGCTGCACAAAGCTTCCTTAATGTGCTTTGTGAGGCTGCCCTGGGTCCTCCCGGAGCCTGGTTTCACAAGCAGGTGTGGCAGGGGGGAGGTCTTGTGCTGGTTTCTCCCCCCATGCATGGATGCTTCTTTCACTCCCTGCTGAGCTGCTTCCTTAGGGCTCAGGCCAGCATCCTCATGTGCAGATACCCAGAGCTGCCAATGCAACCACCTGGCAGGTTCTCAGTGCTTCTGCCTGCTCTGGCACACGTTGCAGCTCTGCAGAACAGCTGCTCTGAGAGGAGAGCCTCCTGCAAGGCTGAGACCCTCCATTCCCCCCAGACACTGCCTTACACGGGCACTTACCCACTATCCCCAGGGACAGCACGGTGCAGAGGATGAGCTTCATGCTGGGGCAGGGAGCTGGGTGTTGAGGAGGGGGAGCAGCGCTGTTGGTCACAGACCGTCCCCTCTGGGTCTGTGATGGCTCTGGAGCCTCTTTCTTCCCCTTTTATAGAGGAGCAGCCCTGGCCGTGTTTGCAGAAGCAATGACCTAACGCTGTTTGTCCTTCCTTGTTTCTCAATAGCTCCCAAGTTGCCCCCCTCCCTGGCTCAGCCCACATTTAGGAAGCCTTTCACTCTTTGGCACAGAAACCCTTCGCAGCCAGTAGCTGGAGCAAGTAAGGTGTTCTTTTGTTTTTACAAGGGGCTTCAAATGGAAAATTCCCAAGTTGTGACATGTGAGTTCCCCAGCAGGCTGCAGTGCTGCGGGAGAGGCTGTTTTCTTTGTCCTGGCCACCCCCTGCCTCGCACAGCCTAATTGCAGAAAGTCCCCGCTGAATCCAGCGCTGAGGTTCACGTGTTTGCCAGTAACTCTCACTGCTGTGCCCAGCACCCTTTGGCTTGCTCTTTCCCTTTCACACTCTTGGCAATGGCAGCAAGATCCAAAGGCAGTAACGCCCCTCGCAGATGGGCTGGAGAGCAACTTGTGCAGGCAGAGGAAGCCAGCAGAGTGGCCAGGCAGCACAAGGGCAGCCTGCAGCCAGCAGGAAGCATTGCACCTCATCATCCTCAAGTTGTCATGATGAACTTGGGAAGAAATGCTGAAATCAGAGCCCTCTTCTTCTGCAGACCCTCTCCATCTGATTCTACTAGCACACAGAGCTGGGTGCTGCTCCACATTGGAGCAGGGCAGGTGGCTTTGGGGCAGCTGGTCCTAGTGTTGGTCGTGGGCATGGTTCTGTGTCCACATCCCTGGGAAGAGGGCTTCTGGTAGACCTTTGTCAATGACCATCCATCACACATCTGCCCTACATGTCACTGTGGCTGCTGGAGGTGCTTTGGGACAGCAGCATCTTCAGCAGTTCCCTCAGCTTGGCTGGTTCCTAGTTTGCATCCTTTCATCTCCTGCTTTCCCGGAAGAGCAACGTTTCTCATGTCCAGAGCTCATCCAAGCACAGCACAAGCAGGAAGGAAGGAAATGATTTGTCTCCACAGCGAGGCAGTGCCACTCTTAAACAGCCTTCCTCCCTTTTAAAAACTGGAATCTTCCATCCTTATTTATTCAATTGAGCTGGAGATCTCGATTCCACAAACCAAGTGGTTACAACGCAGGGGAAAGCTCAGAAAACATAAAGGAGCGCTTCAAAAACAGAGGAGAAGTTGCTGGAAAAGCCTGTATTATTTTGCTTTAAGTTCATGGTTAGAGAACCCATGGGGCACCTCCCAATTTTTGGGATCTTCCCTAAGGGACCCAGATGTCTCCAAGGCATCATTTTCAGAGGAGCACTTCCCACCAAAGGATACAAAGAGCCAAATGCCTTCCCTTGGGATTCCAAGAGGGACAAACTTGGTGCACCCAACTTCTGCTGCCCTTCCACATTTTGTGTCTGAAGTCCACTCTCACATAAATATAGGCACATAGTTCAACGTGTTCTACTTACATGCATGCCTCACTGCCTGCTTGCACAGCTTTGCACCAAAGGAGAGCTCTTCCCACGTATATGAGGCCTATTAAGCTGAGATTAAACAGCAAAACTGATCCTTACTAATGATGAAAATTCTTGTCTTCCAAGGTAAGGGGTCAGTGCTGAGCTGCTTGATCAGAAGGAGAGCTAAGGCAGTGCTTCTTGGACTCCAGCCTTGTTATTCAGGAAGTATCAGGTCTTCTCCAGGATGTCTTCATGAGACATGCTGGGATATTATTGCCCATCACAAATCCCTTTTGTTGCAACACTGCACATCCTGATGGTTCTGTTTTCAGAAAGAAGATGCTGCTAAAAATTACACGAGGGATGAAGAAACACCAATGAATACACCCTGTGGGCAACTGCAGGCCACTGGCAATACACAAACACACGTCACCTCCAGGAGAACTGGGCTTGGACCCAAGCTAGGTAACAATGATGGCAAAATAAAATCACTTATTTCTACATCTCATTATTCCCCTAACTCCATATGGATATACTGCAGTTTGTGGTTGAAACCGGGTTGGAGTTTTGGCCGTATCCTAAGGAAGAATGCTTGCTGTGATTGGGCTGGGATGAAACTGGAGCTGGCACGGTGAGATTGGCTGAGGGCAGAGAGCAGCATACACTGGTGCTTCAGGTTTATCTGTAGGGCTTGGCTTGTTTCCCTCTGGAGATGGGAATATGTAGTTTGTGGCTCAGCCGTGGCTGGAACCTGCCCATGACAAAGGCACTAACATGGTCAGATCCAGCAGCTGGGCTCCAGTTCCCATCCTGTGCTGCCCATAGGTCATGTCACAGCAGGTAAAGGCAAGGAGGTCAGCCTGATGAGAATGCATTTTTAGAACAGAATAGGATCATTAAGATTGGAAAAGACCTCTAAGATCCCCAAGCCCAATCACCAACCCATCCCCAGCATGCCCACTGACCACATCCCTCAGTGCCACATCTCCACAGTCCTGTCCTTTCCTTTTTCCTTTCCTTTCCTTTTTCCTTTCCTTTTCTTTCCTTTCCTTTTTCCTTTCATCTTTCCTTTCTCCTTTCTCCTTTCCTTTCCTTTTTCCTTTTCTTTCCTTTCCTTTTTCCTTTTTCCTTTTCTTTCCTTTCCTTTTTCCTTTTTCCTTTCCTTTTCTTTCCTTTTTCCTTTTTCCTTTTCTTTCCTTTCCTTTTTCCTTTCCTCTCCTTTCCTCTCCATTTTCCAGTCCTCCCTCCCTGCTCCCTGCTGGTAGCCCAGGGGGGACACATGACACAGACTGGCACTCAGCAGGCACCTGCTTGACCCCCAAGTCAGCACAGGGTTCCAGCAGCAGTGCCAACCCTGCCAATGTGTCTGTGCCCAGCAGTGACTGAGATCATCAGCCTGGCATTCCCAATGCCTGATGAATGCCCTAAGAACATCCTGCAGTCTTTCCAGAAACATGCTCCCAACACTTCTTTGGACTAAGAGGCCACTTTTGAGGCTGTGTTCCAGCTCCAGAGTCAGTGTGGTTAGTTTATTTTCAGGACATGCCATGAACCTGTTTCCCCACTGATTAGGAGAAATGCTTGGTGTCAGGTTTGGGCTGTGTTGCAATAAGCTGTTTTCTACCTGGGATGAGCCAAACTGGCCAGTGGAGAGTGGGAGCAGATGTTGCTTGAATCAATATTTACTTCTAAATATTGCTTAATTTCTAAACCACACACAGCAAACAAAGAGCCCTCTGTCCACTTTAAGCAGCTCTGTGTGGCTCAGAGCACTAAGCCCAGCCGCAGGCTGTAGCCTCTTGCCCAGAGCTGCTTACCTTGTCATACCACTACAGGTTTGCATTTTTGGCTAGGTGCTAATGCTGGCCTGACCAGGAGGTACCAGCAGCTCAATACTTTCTACCTTGCACGTTATCTCTGCAGGACAGCGCCACAGCCCCATGACCCTAACCCTAACCCCATGCGTGCTCTCCTTCCAGCAAATGCCCAGCATTGATGAGAAAAAGGTTTTCCTGGTGGAGAAGCCGCCTCCTCTCAACCAAGCCTCCAACAATCCCCCAGCCCCACTGCTGAGCTCAGCAGTGATTTGTGCTCTGCTGCCAGGGGTCAGTGCAAACCTCTCTTAGTCTCTCGGCTATGTAATTAGTGACAATCCTTCTAATGAAGGATTCCGGTTTGCTTGATTAACCCAAAGGTTAACAGGGTTACCAGCAGCTCCGTGCAGCCCTGGGAACTGTGATGTTCATGGTGGGCTTTGGGAAAGGAACACAGGAAGGCACAGTGGGCTGATGATTCCTGCTGGAATCATGGAGCTGCTGAAGCTCTATTCATGCCTGCTTCCTGGGTATTTCCTAAAGATTAGTGGGAACAAACCAGCAAATATTGATAATCAGGAAAGAAAGACTATCGATATCAGCAAATACTACCAACATATGCCTGTGGGGAGATGCTGGGCCATCCTGGAGGAACAGAACATAAGAGAAGGTGGCTAATTTCACGGAGGCACAAAATGGCTTTGGTTGGGTCCTTCTGGCCCAATTCCTGCTCCAGCAGGGCCACCTGGCTCGGGGTGCCCAACACCACGTTGTTTCCAATGGAGAGGGGAGCTGGGGCTCACAAGGACATCTAGGTGCTGGGCAGAAGGGGCAGGAGCACAGACAATCCCCATCGTGACAGAGCCCAGGCCAATGGCAGCATCCGTGCAGGAAGGGGATAGGAATGAGATGGTGGCAGAGTGGATCATAGGACATCACAGCCAGACTCAGAGTGCACCCAGATCTGGGCCACATCCACTGCACCTATGCAAGGAGACACTCAGCTACGTCCTTTGTTTTGGGAGCTCCTTCAGCTGCTGTTTGGACATCCTGGGGCTGGCAGTGCTCAGCGCTGCTGGAATGGGAGCAGGGGCTGAGCCTCTTATCACCCTGCACAGCCCATGGGCAGCCCAGCTGGGCTGGCACAGCCCCCACCAGGCATTGTGTTCAGCTGCAAGATGGCTCTGCAGCCAGAAATGAAGTTTGGGCATCAAGTGAGCGGGAAAGGGGTCAGGTCACCAATAGGTCAACATGAACTCTACCATTTGCTGTTCAGCCCCTTTCCAGTCAGCTTGTTCACGGTAATCATTAATACCAAACACCTATCCTCATGCAGAGCCTCACAATGGCTCATTTTTAACCTGTCACCACCACCATATGTTATTACACGTGTCCTGGCCAAAGCCACCTTCCTTGCCAGCAGTAAACGCTCTTATGGAAGTCCCATCTCCTGGCTGATCAGCAGTGATTTTGTAACCAACAGAACATACGTTGCCCAGCATTCCCTTCCATTTTGTCATTCTGAATCAGCATTGAAGGGAGTTAATGGAAACTGGGCTTCAGCATAACAGCAAGGCTTAGTCTTTATTGGAGACCTTTCGACCTCTAGTTAAATTAATTTTTCTTTCTGTTTGAGGTTCTTGAACATGGCAAGGGCAATCCAACAGCCATGAGCCATGCAAACACCACATCCTTCGGAGCAACATGCCAAAATATGGCACCAATGGCTAAATATTGGCAGCACGGTGTTCTTCTGGAAAAACTGATGCAAGGAAGTTGAGGAATATCCTTTGTTAATTCATTAACTACCGAGAGTAATTT